AGCAAACATAGGGCAAAGGAAAAATTCCAAGCAGATAGAGGAGGAAAAGGTGGAGTCAAGAAGATACCATGTAGCCACTGCAGGAGACAGATGCTGGGCTGAACCTTACCGGTAGGTCACAACCACATGGTGATGTGTAGGATAATAGAAATGGGTTAATTTAAGATGCAAGAACTAGCTAGAAATACGCCTAAGCTATTGGCCAAAGAGTGTCTTAATTAATACAGTTTCTGTGTGACTATTTTGGGTCTGTCTGGGTGGCCGGGAACAAATTAGCAGCTTCCCACTAAACTGCACATGTACAACCCTTTTGTGCATCTTGATTTTTTAAATGTTTGAGGGGTTTGTTTAGATCTGATGTGTTCAGAACTGTACCTCCAATTCTTAGGATACTGATTGATGTTCACATTTGCTCAGTAAATGAGTGTTGAGCAAATTCATCACTGCAGATGTTTCTTATGAGATTAATATTATAATCCCTTCTAGAGGTAAGTCTTGGAATTTTCCAACCCTTTGTTTACATTTTTTCCTAGCTCACTTTTATTCATTCAGAAATTTGGTCAGTTATTTTTTTTTAAACTTCATATTGTGTGAATCTTTTCTGGGGAGACATGAAAATACCCATTCATTCCAGATAGAATACAATAACAGACCAAAGAAAGGGTTTGGTGCGAGAATGAGTTTAACTAGAATTACTTCAAAGAGTGTGCATGAAAGTATGACAGACACACTGGAGGCTTATAGGCAGCTACACCACTGCTGAAAGAACTCTCTGTCCCAGCAACTGTCAAGCACCTATACACCCTTCAGGAGCAATGGACTTCATAAGCCCTTTCCCCTAGTACTATTAACTGTCTAGAAGTTCCTCCAAAGGGAATGGCTTTGTAAGCCACAGCCCCATGACTGAAAGTAATGGGCCTAACCTTATGCAAGATTTTGAGTAACATCTGCTGACTGTTTAAGTAGACAATGGTCATGCCATGGTAGGCTGTGAATAGAGTTTCAAAACACAGCTTTATAGCACCCCAGAGCCTTCCAAATGAAGCAATCGATTCTTTGGACAACTGTTTACTGAATGTATACTAGGTGCTAAGGAATAGAAACAACAGATACAATTACTGGGCCTTGCAGTTTATTGAGAAAAACAATGAAGAAACAGCTATAGTGAGATGTAGTGGTCTAAGGGAAAAGAGAACTAAGTGTTAGAGAGGCACTAAGCAAGAGTCCTTGGCCCAGAGAAGAGGAGGCGTGTTTCTAAAAGGCATTGGCAAAGACAGAAGAAATGATAGGGTTGAAAAGAAAGCCATGATATGGGAGAGCCCTCAAGTGACATTTATGAGAATTCTTCAGTCTTTAAGGGCCCTTTGTGTTTCAGACATCTGTCTCAATAGCTAGGTACCATATTCTAGAGACAGGTGACTTTAAATTTTCTAAAATGTTGGATGTTGTATCCTTCTGCTGTTGTCCTATTTTATTGCCCTTCTCATCCAGGAGATAAGATTTTGCTTTAGTAGCAACACAATGACTTCTAATAATATTCTTTTATGTCTATCGATGATTGTTTTGTTCAGCTATCATCAGAGAAGCATCCTCCTGCAGTAGGTAGGTAGTAATACAGAGGCCTACAAGTAGACAATGTGCAAAGTGTAGAAGTTTTGGAACAGTCAGTCTTAAATGGGATGTCTTCATTGAACCCATCCCCTCAGGGCTTAGGGAACTAGGTAGAAGAGAAGGCAGAAAGATTGTAAGAGCCAAAGGCGATGCAGGACACCTAGGGAACCATGTCTTCCAGATTCAATAGAACTGATGTACATAGGAACTTGTAGGAACGGTGACAGTATGCACAGTACCTGAACAGTTCCAAGCTAGATGGGACCCAGCACTCAAAGCCAAAATCTCCCATCCCTTACCAAGAAGCTGTGTCTTGATGACAATGGCTTGGAAATAGAAGAATGAGTTTCCTCTAGTGGCATATCTCGTTGGGTTTATAAACCACACTTTAGGGCAGACTCTATGCCAAGCCGTAGATTATCAACAAAATGAAAGGAATGATATTTTTGTAGATTATTTTTTCTTTGTCTCATATTGCTTTGTTCAAGCATTTATTTACCTCCCTGGTCTTGTGATTATATATTATGGTTTTCAATTCTGTTTTTATAGTTTTAATTCTTAGTGTATATGAGTCTGCGTGTGTGTTTCTTGTTTTTATAGAGGATTGTTTGTTTGCTGTTTGTTTTCTAAAGACCCAAAGGGGTTGCGACCCACAGGTTGAGAACTGCAGCAGTAGGCTATTTGGCAGTCTTTTGTGGTTATTTGTGATATACCAAGTCTTGCTTGTTTTCAAATGTAAAGTATGGCTTTTCAGTTGCTCTAAATACACAGAGCAAAATGTTAGATTCAAGTTTAATTTAATGTAGGTACTTTAATAAAAAATGAGACCAAGCAAGAGGAAAATATTTTACCTTTAGTGCCAAATGTGTCTTTAATTACTAGCATGATGTCCTTGGTTTATTAAATATTTATGTTTATTTATTTATTTATTAAAGATTTCTGCCTCCTCCCTGCCCCCGCCTCCTATTTCCCTCCCCCAATCAACTCCCCCTCCCTCATCAGCCCAAAGAGCAATCAGGGTTCCCTGCCCTGTGGGAAGTCCAAGGACCTCCCACCTCCTTCCAGGTCTAGTAAGGTGAGCATCCAAACAGCCTAGGCTCCCACAAAGCCAGTACGTGCAGTAGGATCAAAAACCCATTGCCATTGTTCTTGAGTTCTCAGTAGTCCTCATTGTCTGCTATGTTCAGCAAGTCCGGTTTTATCCCATGCTTTTTCAGACCCAGTCCAGCTGGCCTTGGTGGGTTCCCGATAGAACATCCCCATTGTCTCAGTGTGTGGGTGCACCTTTCGCGGTCCTGAGTTCCTTGCTCGTGCTCTCTCTCCTTCTTCTCTTGATTTGGACCTTGGGGTTTCTGTGCGGTGCTCCAATGTGGGTCTCTGTCTCTGTCTCCTTTCATCGCCTGATGAAGGTTAATATCCAGGAGGATGATTACATGTTTTTCTTTGGATTCACCTTCTTATTTAGCTTCTCTAGGATCACGAATTATAGGCTCCATGTCCTTTATTTATGGCTAGAAACCAATTATGAGTGAGTACATCCCATGTTCCTTTTTTTGGGTCTGGCTTATCTCACTCAGGATAGTGTTTTCTATTTCCATCCATTTGTATGCGAAATTCAAGAAGTCATTGTTTTTTACTGCTGAGTAGTACTCTAATATGTATATATTCCATACTTTCTTCATCCATTCTGTCACTCAGACAAAAAGGCAACCCACTGATTGGAAGAAGATCTTCACCAATCTCGCAACTGACAAATGTCTGATCTCCAAAATATAAAAAGAACTCAAGAAACTAGACTGTAAAATGCCAATCAACCCAATTATAAAATGGGGCATGGAGCTGAACAGAGAATTCTCAACAGAAGAAGTTCAAATGGCCAAAAGACACTTAAGGTCATGCTCAACTTCCTTAGCGATCGGGAAAATGCAAATCAAGACAACTTTAAGATACCATCTTACACCTGTCAGAATGGCTAAAATCAAAAACACCAATAATAGCCTTTGCTGGAGAGGTTGTGGAGAAAGGGGTACACTCATCCATTGCTGGTGGGAATGCAAACTTGTGCAACCACTTTGGAAAGCAGTGTGGCGGTTTCTCAGGAAATTCGGGATCAACTTACCCCTGGACCTAGCAATACCACTCTTGGGAATATACCCAAGAGAGGCCCTATCATACAACAAAGTATATGCTCTACTATGTTCATAGCAGCATTTTTTGTAATAGCCAGAAGCTGGAAACAACCTAGATGCCCTTCAATGGAAAAATATTTATGTTTTTGTATGATTATAGACAATTCAACCTTAAATATTTATTAAATATTTATGTTTTTCTATGATTATAGACAATTCAGCCTTAAATATTTATTAAATATTTATGTTTTGTATGATTATAGACAATTCAACTTTAAGATTCTGAACAAAGAATGCTGATACAATTCTATGCATTTCTAAAGCATTTATTCATTATCTGGTAAGTATATTTTCAAATACAATTACACTAATGGCAAGCCAGACCAAAGTAGCAATATAAAAAGTATAGAAAATGGCAACGTAAGTATGGTTTAATTATTACAGAGTTTCATGATGATTAATCAGCAAAGAAAAATAAATGCACAAAATACATTATTATTGGAGGGAACATTGACTTTTTTTCAGCCACTGTAGTTGTTTTATGTATTTATGAATATTAAGACACCAGACTAAAAGTAAAATTCAATACTATTTAAATTATAAAATTCATAGGATAATCCCAGCACTCGGGAGGCAGAGGCAGAGGCAGGCAGATCTCTGTGAGTTCGAGACCAGCCTGGTCTACAGAGCTAGTTCCAGGACAGGCTCCAAAGCCACAGAGAAACCTTGTCTCGAAAAACAAAAAACAAACAAACAAAAAAAAATCATAGGATATCAGTTGTTATTTTTTACAACCAATCGTATAACCAAATACGTTTGATGTTAATGATTTGTTTAGTGATCAGATACTGAGTTAGAATAAGCACATATCAAATATACTCAACATTTTCACTAGCATTCTCATTTTATCAAGTTAATTAGAAACTATAAGATTGTTTGGAAAAAAAGGCATGCTCTAACTATATTGAATCATATAAGAGATGTTAATATGTTCAGTGATACTGTTCAAGCAAAAATATTAACCTTTTAGATGGCACTTTTTGCCTTCAAAGGAACTGTTATCAACTAGTTATGACATCAAATTACTCAAATATTATTAAGAAAAAAGCAGGTTCTGTGACCATTATGCTATATTATTGTGCCAGGCATTGTTGTATATAATGACCTAATATCATCAAATCCATCTTAAATCATATTGTTGGCAAATGTAACTTTGCATTGGTTTCCTACAAAGACTTGCAGTTCATAGTGCTCTGTGACTCACTGAGTGATGACACCTCCAGCTATTTCAATAGGTGAGGGCTCTCTTTTTTTACTTGCTATCCTATAGAAAAACAAGAGAAAAAGTTAATATTCCAGTGTCAGTTTATTACAAATGTGGGTGCTTATCTTTGGGGATGGAGTCTTTGTTGAAGGATGGGGATAATGAAGTTCCTGAATGTAATGTTTCAAGAGTTGAATATTCTAAGGACTCTGAGGACCATCATATATTTTACTGTGGTTTCCCAATAATCTTAATTAATGGCCAATTTTCAAGTATGCACGTCTATCTGTGGTGTATTGTATCTGAGGCCTCATGAGCCCATTTAGCCAGTGTCAACTTTGTATGATGTATGTGGTTAAAAAGTAATATCAGGAGCCATAACTCTATGGGTTTCACTGGGCTAGCAAACTATGTTCCTTCAAAACAGTGTGATTGCAGTGGAATATCTAGGCAAGCAGAATAATTGAGTGGTGCTTTTAAATATTTAAAGCTATATAAAGGAAAGTCTATTAACTGAACTTTTCACCCCTTAGAAAATTTTTAATTATTTGGACTTCAAAAAATATATCAGAACCCATATCTTCATAGAGAATTTTTAATGTCTTGTAGCAGTTTGTGTTGGTACTTGTTTTGGTAGATGTTAAATTACATGTTTAGAAAATGTTAAATGCTTAGAAGGGTTGAAGCTGAGAAGTAGTTAGTTACATTTTTAAACCCTTGTTGCATTTAAAAATAAATGAATTTGAGTGCCCTCAGGCAAAGCATTCAGTCATCATGTACACGGCCCCTTGCTATAGCTGTTCATCTCCTCACTTCAGTTTTATTATTCCTACATGGTTGTCAAGTCCAGTAATTAGGTTTCTTAGTTTGCTTCTGGGAAAGCAATAATGTGTACATGTACTATGCAGTTGGTTGAGCAAACTTTTATTTATAGTTATCAAATGTCGAAGAGAAGCACATATAAAGATTATTGATATTCAAATTCAACATACTCATGCATTCATGTATAATAAATGAGCAAATGAACATGATACTTTACGTTTTTCTTTTTATTTATTCTCTCATATAAAACATACCAACTGCATTCTCTCCCAGTTGTTCTTTTAAATTAAAAGTTAGCAAGTTATTCACTTAGGAATACTAAACGAGTAAAGATATTTTATAGCCCAGAGACTTATAAAAATCAACACTTCTGGCAATGAAAGCAGCTAAGGAAAAGGATTTCCAAGGAGTACATTAATATCTGATGGTGGCATTCTTTTTATTGGTATGACATATGAGGTCTCATTGAATATGTCTTTCAATGAATATATATTAAAACTTGAGCAAAACTTGTCAATACATAGGAAGCTACGGGAAAAAATACGTCTTCAGATAGATGTAACTGAGTTATACAATATGTACCTTCCCTGAGTTATTTTTCTAAATAACATGAACTGTAAACAACATAGTTCAGTTTTTTTTTAAAGGAAAACCCAGGTGAAATACTGATAAACATTTTAAATGGAAGGGCATAATCCATATGTACCTGTAATTATATCATTAAACCAACCCCCTGCGGTCATTTTCTTTACATTTGAAGTCTAAATAATGTTCCCATAGACCTGTCCCACATGAAGTTGTATGTAATACCTTCATTTTCAGGTCCTGGTATTGTCTGCCCCCCGCTTCTGAGATACACTTACTTACCTCAACTTGAGCATCACCAAGAAAAGAATTCCACAGGTAGTGATCATGCACAGCACAACATAGACTAGTTCTCCTGGGAAGAAAAGATCAGTAAATCACTGGATATGCTGATGTGGATGAGGGGGGCAGAAGACCTCAACCCTATCTATAGAATCATAGGCAATTAAGGAATACTGAGAGCTGGAGAAATGGTCTTCCCAAAGGAAGAAGACATTAATCAGCTATCCAATACCAAATGCCCAATCTTGGAAACACACATACAGTAACATACAGACTGAGATGGTTATATTAGTAATATATATATACATAAACTTGTATGTATGGAGCAACAATCAATAAATAAAGAGTGAAAGCGAGCAACGAGGGGTATATGCAAGGGTTTGCAGGAAGGAAAAGGAAAGGGGAAATGATGTAATTGTATTATGATCTCAAAAAAAGTAAAAAGAAATATTTTTTAATTCGTTGGATTTTTAGAAAAAATAAGTATTATTTTCATAGACAATTTTTAACTGACCGTTGAAGGGAGCCTTGAACCCACTCAGAGTAATTTCCTTTGAATGCTTTCTTTTATATGAGGAAATGTCTTTGACATTAGGAGTTGGATAATCTGAAAGAAAATAATAAAAATTGATACGGAATATTTAAGATTCATACTTTAGCTTTATCAAATTATTATAATTTGTTTTATATTATAGTAAATGAAAGTGATCTAGTTCTATGACACTATTTCATAAATCCAAAGATTTATATGAAAGTGGGAATGCTAAAATTTTAATAGTGTGTCCCTGCCATATTTAGTCAGCGAATTTCACTAAAGAAATCTGTTCCCTACAGGCCATAATTAGAAAAAAAAGGTCCCATGTTATAGAAGGACTCATGGGCCTTGCACATGGAGGAAAGACAGAGGACCGTGTATCTAGACTTCCACTTTGGATCTTGGAGAAGATTTCTTCTTTACATGAGTGTTCTTTCAATGTGTTTTAAAGATATTATGTTTTCCAGAGAACCACTGGTATTGGCTTCCTACATAGGAAAGCCTCTCCACACGGGGAGCCCCTCTGCTCAGACCTGAAACCAGGCCACTTGCGTTCCACCGGCATGTCTCCTCTGCACTCTCACCAATCTGAAGACTCCCAGTTTCTGTCCTTGAGACTGGCTTTATCTTCCTGAAGGGCTACTGCTGGCTTCTTTATGGAGGTAATAATCTTCAAGGGCAACTCTGAGAAATTTAGTTATTTTAGATGCTGCTGGCCTCACTACTCTAAAAGGAGTGTTTCTTTGTGGCCAGGTCAAAAACCATATATTTTTCTATAAATTTTGCTTTCACTAACAATTTTTTTATTGATTTTATTGAGCTCTACATTTTTCTCTGTTCGCCTCCCTGCCTCTCCCTTCCCCTTCAACCCTCTCCCAAGGTCCTCATTCTTCCAATTTACTCAGAAGATCTTGTCTTTTTCTACTTCTCGTGTAGATTAGATCTATGTATGTCTCTCTTAAGTCCTCATTGTTGTCTAAGTTCTCTGAGATTGTGATTTGTGGGCTGGTTTTCTTTGCTTTATGTTTAAAAACCACCCGTGAGTGAGTACATGTGATTAATTGTCTTTCTGTGTCTGGGTTACCTCACCCAAAATGATGTTTTTTAGCTCCATCTATTTTCCTGCAAAATTCAAGATGTCATTTTTTTTCTTCTGTGTAGTACTCCACTGTGTAAATGTACCACATTTTCCTTATCCATTTTTCAGTTGAGAGGCATTTCAGTTGTTTCCAGGTTCTGCTATGACAAACAATGCTGCCATGAACATAGTTGAGCAAGTGTCCTTGTGGCATGATTGAGCATCCTTTGGATATATACCCAAAAGTGGTATTACTAGGTCTTGAGGAAAGTTGTTTCCTAGTGGAGAGGCTGTAAGGTAAAGAGATGTTTTCCCTAACTTTTACCCATAAAGAAGATAAAATCCTGATGATTAATTAATGGATTTATTACCTTGTTCAGCCTAGCTATAGTAGGGAGAGCCTTGGACCTTCCCCAAAGCAATGTGCTTTACACTCTCTGAAGAGTGGATGGGGTGGGGGTGGGGAGAGTTGGTGGAGGGAATGGGATTAGGGGAGGGAGTGGGAACTGGGATTGGTATGTAAGATGAAGAAAAGATAGTTTGTTTTCTTTTTTAAAGTAAAATAAAATATTAATGGATCTATTACAGCTGATTCATCACACATAGTGTCAACAGAAAGAAAAATGAAAAAAAATATTACACAAGCAAATTTGCTTTATGACTCGAACATGTAAGGGATAGGGGATGAAGGAAAGCCTCCATACAGGAAAGCTGGCTGTCTACCACTGTAGATTGTTTCAGGTATTTTGGGACCTAGAAACATAACTAAGAATAGATAGGTTTCTTTTTTTTAAGGCATTATAGTTTAGAAAAATCGGGAAATTTGTACCCAATGACATTCAAGGTTAAATCTCTATAAAAGAAGGTAGATGAGAAGATGTAATATGAAAGCTTGCAGCCAATCTTCGCTTCACATAGCCTATTGCCAGGCCTATAAGCTCTCCTTTACTAACCATCAGTTCACTGGAAAATTCAGTAACAGAAATTTCTGGGTGGAACAGGAAGAAGCCCAAAGAAGACAAAAATATGCAAGCAGTGATGTGGCATTAGAAGCTTATTTTCAAGACTTTTAGCTTCTAATTCATTTAAAACATTTTTAGTTCACACCATTTTTCAACTCCAGGTCTTAGAAATTGAAAAATATACCCTGTCAGAATACAAAATTAACAGATGTACAATTTGAATATTTTCCATTTTCTGTGTTTATGAGGCAAATTTTGTTATCTGTGTTATACACTGAGCCATTTATACTAATGGTGCTTGAGGAAAAAAATTAATTTTCATCAACTTGAACATACAGACTTTCAATAAAATAAGTGATAATGCAATTATGTCTGATATATAATGACGTGAGGAACAAATGTTAATTCTATGACATTTTGGTAGTTTTAGTATTATCATGGACTCTGTATATATATATATATATATATATATATACACACACACACACACACACACACACACACACATACACATTGACTGATTAATTATTCAAATCATATGAATTTTTTTTGGAAAGTCTATTCATAGGGATGCTTGTTTTGGTTTGATATCACAATTTAACTTATTGTTGTACACGAAAAATCTATTCTGACTAACTTTGCAGTCTTTTATGTATAGAACTAAGATAATTACTAATGGCTAGAAAAATAGAAAAAATATTTCATTCAGTAAGTTTCATTCCCATGGTACTCACGAGCAAAATCTAAAAGGTCAGTGCCATAAATATTAGATAGTATCCCAGGGCAAATGTATCTTCCAGTCACTATGCTACTTAAATATTGCTCCCTGGCAGGATACTGAGTGTCGATGAGGAAGGTAGGTTAGTGTTATTAAAGGTTTCTAGGCTACTGAAGCCAAGTTGACAGTCTTCCTTATAAATTTATAAATTGTGGGGGTTTATTACAATAAAAGTGAAGTTGGTAGATTGATAGTTACCTCAGCCCTTTATCATCTGTCTTATTCAACATAATCTACATTTTAGAGAAAGTAAACGTTTTTAATTACATTATAAAATTTTTGTACATTTGGTGGTAAATCTAGATTTACTTTAACATTATACTAAGAAACAAATTTAAATAACATTCTATGCAGAAATATGAAAATTTATATATTTTGTTTTTCAGAATTCTCACAGACACTGGTGCTGTGTTCTTGATCTCATGTACCTTTTCAACACTGTGTACAACATGTCTAAGCCTGCTGTCATCCCTAGGTGATTGTGTCTCAGGAAATGCCCTCATCCCTCTATTCTCACCCTTTCCTCAGTGATACATTTTCAGATATCTTCATAATACTCCATGCAATTCCATGCAATCTTCAGAATATTCCATGCGACTCAATTCAAGTATCAAAGGTTTCATGTAAGCTGTTACAGTGAAATAATGTTTTTTCAAAGACTGCTTAAAGTTGAACTGCCATTTTCCCTTTATTTTCCACAATTGGCTCTTCTTACTAGCACTCAGGTTTAAATGCCAGAGTGCTGTAGAATTCAGTCCCAAAAAGATGGTTTTAAGTGAACTACAGCTATGCCCAGCTGTCTTCTTTCATATTTGTTTACATGCCATGCAACTACCCTTGACACCACACTAAATTCAGATTTCCATGCACTGAGCTAATTGATTTCATCATATTTTTTTTATCTCAGTAAACGATGCAACCACCCAATATCATTCAGAATATCTAGAAAGAACCCTAACTCTTCCTCTTTCTCTTAAGCATGTGACAATTAGCTAATTACTTGTGCTAATAATACCGAAATACATATCTGAATTCTACTCTCAATTTTTATCTCCTAAATAAAACCATCATTGTATTTCACCTGAACCACACTGATAAACATTCCTAGCATGGTCAAATTATCTTCCTATATCTTTTCTTAATTTCCTCTAATCAACAAGAAACAGAATGATCTATTTCAAAACCAAATCAAATAGGGTACTATGGATATTTCCGTACAATTTCCTCTTGCCTATTCTAGTCTAGCACTCTCCTCTGTCCATCCCTTTCCTTTCTTCCCCCTATTTATCAAACACATGGCATTTATTGCTAGATCATTTGACATTTGCTCTGACCTCTCTCTAGAGCAGACTTCTCTTTCAAGCGCCCACTCAAAGAGCAGCTTCTGAGAGAGATCTTCCCTAGCCATTTTACTGAAGTGGATTCATTGTCATCTATCTTAGAAGCCTGACTTCAAAAGACATGATATTTTAAAAGATTTTTAGGAGACAGCATTATTACACTATTTTCCATAATGCTTGGTCTGTATGCCTCTACATGATTGGAAAATATAGGGCACCAGAAGAAAGAGATAGAAAACAATTTGCTTTGAGACAACAAACCATGTGCGGTTCTATGATACAAGTGTTTCTCAGTGTGTGTATGCATGTGTGCATGTATGCACACGTGTGCATGCATGTGTGTGTATGTGTGCATGTAGTAAACTGAAAAACATCAATTAAAATTAAATTTCTCAAGGTGGTATATTATGGAATCCAAGAACAAATTGTGGATAGCATTGGTATATGTAACGGTCGGCTGACATTTGTGTGTTAGGGTGAAGACAGAATAATCATTGAGGAATCTTATTTTTTAACCGGTCAGTGGAACGCAAGACGACACCATGTTAAATGTTCTCTTTCCATGAATATAAATACTAATTTTAAATCTTCTTGTTTACTGAATACACGAAAACACAAACACCTGTCACATGATTTTTCTTGCTTTTAGCCACTGTTGTTCACAACTCTATTCTCTGTCTCTGATGCCAAGCAAATCAATCATGTAAATCCACATTGTTACTCCTGCTTTATACCAAACTAGGGTATAAAGAAAAGATAGTTTTAAATAGGATTTTGACAGATTTGTTGTTATCCAAATCTATCTTCTACATTTGTGTAGGAAATTTAGGACTTGTTATTACTTTGAATTTAGGGAATCAAGAAGAAGAATGATCAAATGGGGCAATACATAGCCCAAAATCCATGGTTAACTT